TTTAACAATGCAACGCCTCGTCGCGCCTCCTACTCCCCCCCTCTTCATCCTCCCGCGCACCTGGCAGGAAAAACTCGCCATTCAACTAGCAACCCTCTGACTTAGCCCGCGGACTCCCGAGCGCAAGACAGTGATTTTCCAGGGCGATAACCGTGATTTCCAGAGACGCGGCGGTCTCTTTCTCTCTTTCTCTCTCTCTCTCTCTCTCTCGCGCGCGAGCGCACGCAAGCCGAGATCGGTTGAACGACCGGTAGACACCTTTTGATGTCAAATCACTCTTCCTACTCCGGTACGTCCCTTCTGCCGCTCGCGGCGAACCCGCTGAAAGGTTCCTAGGGCGCGACGCGAACACACTCGATTGCCGCATACACTTTATTCCCAACCCATCGTTCCGTCCCAGCGATTTCGAATTCCCGAACAAATTTGATCGTCGTCGTCCTCGTCTCCCTCCGTCTTCGTCGCCTTCGTCTAGCCGAGCTCGCATCTCTACGTGACGGGAAAATCGCGGGCTTGCTCGCGCGTCGGAAAGCCACTTCTCTCCCCTCCCCTCCTCGCCCTCACCCCTCTCGCTACCCCTAGTCCCGGCATATAAACTCTCATCCGCCAACCTCACCTCTCTGCCGCTCTCCCGTCCGCGACGCGCGCTCTCTACTCTCGTATTTTCCTACTTCTCGCGCTTCGTGGTTCTACTTTCGCACGCGCGATTGTGCTCTGACGAGTTTATGGCCGGTCCTCGGCGGAATCCCAAACGCGGCACGTACGCGAAGTTACCGACTCGAACGAGGAGCAAGAGAGCCCGAGGAGACCGTCGGGGAGACGCGAAGAAACGCGCGCATAACAATGGCCGATCTTTCGGCTGGTATAATTTCGCGGTCGATGATAGCACTGATAGCCAGTGATATCTCTTGCGCTTCAGTTTTCTCCAATCATGAGAAAGTTTCATTCGTGCGAATTGTGCGCGATGTCGATCGGTGCAAATTAATTTTGAATGCATGTGCTATCGAGCACATTTCCGACCAAAATATGCGAAACGCGATGTATAAATACAATTGTTAAGAGACGTTAACTCAAACTATTTTTCTCTCGGAAACTGAGACCTGCATCAATAGTCGTTACTTGAAACCTGCGTCAGGTAAGATACTCGGATTTGGATTTAGAATTAGGTTTGAATTTCTTCTGCTGAATTGCAATTGCTAGCGTAATGTCGCATATATTATATGATTCAAATAGAAAAATACAAATCTATCTCTAAAGATCTGAATATCTCACATGGGACAAATTTCAAATAACAACTGTTAATACGGGCCAAAGATTTCTGTCTGAATGTCCCGCAATATAGGATCACACGAGAATCCGCTTTCGACTGATTAAAATTTGCACGAGATCTCCAGGGTACGTTCATTTACGGGCATTTCGGGCCGATCGTGGATTGACGTAACAGAATTCGTAAGCAGATTCAATACGCAATAATGCTACGGTGAGTAATTAACGTGGCATCCGCGCGTTGATTAAATTTCACGCGTCGGGAGTAAATTCATAAATATCCGCAGCTGCGCCATTTCCGACAAAGGTTGGCTGCAACTTACGACGACGTAGCGAAAGAAAATTAATGACTACAAAAGATTACTCTCCGGACTCCGCGGCTGTCCGATGAAATATCATAAATCGCGGGCTTGCTACGTCTGAGAAGTTTTCATAGCTGACTGCTTCCGTCTCGCTCTCTCTCTTTCTCCGTCTATCTCCCTCTCTCGCCCTCACCCTCTCTCGATTCCACCTCCTTTCCGCGTCTCATTCTCATTACGAAGTTCCCGGTCATCAAATTTTATTAGCCCCCACTTCAGCCGGCCGGTCCGCCTTACTTCTAACTCAATATCGTAGATTCGTAGTCTCGGTTTAACTACCCACCCGCCCACCCTTCACAGCGGACGCACACGAAAGCGCACGATTCGCGCACACCTACATACATCCCGGCAGAGTCAGCTCTCTCTCCTTGTTTCCCCTTTCTCGTTCTCTTCATCCCCTTTCTCTCCTTGTACTCCACAACACGCGCGCTTCCATTTCTCGCACCCCTCTCTCTCTCTCTCTCTCTCTCTCTCTCTCTCTCTCTCTCTCTCTCTTTCTTCCTCTCACCCGTTCTTGGATGTAAGCGCGGCGAGCGACTTTGAAAGCGGCAATAATTCCGTGCTCTACGGCCGAGAACTAATTTCCACCGGCTCTGACAGGGTGCTAGCAGCGAGAGGGTGAGGTAGAGAGCAGGCAATAGAAGACGGAGGGTAGTCTCACCTTGGGAGCACCCACCGGCTCCTCGTTCCTCGCGGACGGTTCGTTTTCCCGCGCGCCCTTTTATCGCCCGACAATGGTTCGCCGGGGTGCAGCCACCTCGGCCCTACGTGGTCAAGGGTCGCAGCCAATAAACTGCCTGCCAGCGAGCTACTAACCTACGTGCCGGTTGAATCCGCGGAAAAGTAGTAAAGACGGCCGAGAAAAAGAGACAAAAAGAGGAAACGAAAAGGAGCGCCGAAGAGGCAAGAGAGAGGCTTTCTTGACGGCGTGAGGTTTCCGCTTCGCGTCCTTTAATTGCGATGGCCACGTCGCGCTTGGAATTGGGACTAACGACTTTCCTTCGGTCCTCTTAAAAGCCACGTCGACGGACACGTATGTGACGTTTACGGACATGATACCGTAACGACCGCGTCTGCGTTTTACCGCGCGCGAGGGACTGACATGGCACGATCCAAGCAACGCTATCGGAAAGTGAACGAGGAACAGAATACCGGGCAATCGGGCTAAAACTGCAGCTGTCAAACGATTCCAAGTAGTGCAGGATATAATTCACTGGTGGGAAAAAGCTTCCAGCACAAACTGAGATGAAATTTTGCTGTTAAACTAACTCTGCGAATTTCGTCCAACTCCAACTTTGATAAGTCGAGTTTCGCCAACAGTTTCCGACATATCATATATAAGCCTGCTTAGTGAAATTATAATTTCTTTATTAACGAAACATTGTTTTTTTTATATAACGCGAGGATTTCGATATATACAAAATTCATATTTGCGAATTATACCAATTTCAAGAGGGACGTTCAAGTTTGCCAGCGAAAATCGAGTTCATCTGAGCTGTAAAGAAGTTAAACTAATCGCGAGGTGTAAGATAATTGTAGTAATCGGCGAAACAGCAATCTGAAGTTCGTTATCGCCGTGCATTACATTCGGTGGACAAGAGCGTTGCGGTCTAATGAAAGTTACCGAAAGCTAGTAAGCTATAAAATTAAATCCGCACCGAGGAGATAAAAGGAAGAGGGAGCGCTTTCGAAAGACCGAAACTTTCCGCTCCATATCGCTCAACAACCCCGATTCAAATTCTAATTAACGATCTTCGCGAGTGGGAATTATCATCTTCATTTCGGAGATTTCATTTTCAAGTCCCTCTCTGTTTCTCTTTCATCTGCCCACTCTCTTCTTCTTCTCTCTCTCTCTTTCTTTCTCTCTCTCTCTCTCTCTCTCTCTCTCTCTCTCTTTCTCTCTATCAACGACGCGTATGTTTCCTCTTAATTACGTGCTGTTGTATGAGAGAACTCGATACGAACGAAGCAAATCCGGCTAAAGAGATCGGAGAGTCGACAAATTGAATGATAAAGGCGATACAGAAATTAATGGCGTTTTAGTTACGGGTCGTGCGACATACCCGGCAATCGCGAAAAAGCCGCCTAATCCTCTTACGTCTTTCGGACCTCGTGTCCCGCGCTGACCAACTCTTTGAAAGGTTCGCTCTGTAAGCCCTTAAACCCATCTCGGCCGCGGCAATTCCAGACCAATTTCGAGAAAATTCAATCGTGAAATATACAGCGCGGCATGTTGAGCCGCTGGATCGGCAGGAACAATAAGGACGCGAGGGTCAAGCCCTCCATCTCGTGTCGCGACACAAATCAATTTGGCCGTAAGCTCGCCAGCTTAATAATACGCTTAAATGCGACTGTAATTACAAATTACACGCGTAAGCGGCCGCAATCGTATCTTGAACGGAATCGAGAACCTTAATTTCTCATATCAATAACCGAGTCGAAATTTCAGCTCTGTTTCGATCCCTGAACTTTCTAATATCTATCCTGAAGGAGCAGTATAATACATATAGAAACTGAAATCCTACTTAATGCCTCTAAATGGTAGAAGACGCATAAAATGCCACTTGCAAGTTCTAGAGAGAACTCCTTGACAAAGTTAGTAGGTTAAATAGATTCAATAGAGGTTGATGTAGGCTTTAGAGTATTAAAATAGACATTGAGTGGAATATTGAGACCGAAAGGTTGAAATTTTGACACGACTAAATGCTTGCACCAGAGTGGGAAACACACTCGAAAGTATAAATTAGTATCGCATTTTATTAAGGTAAAGTACTAATTCCCGTATCTAGTTTTGAACATTCTTATTTAACTAAACTTTTAACATAGAGTATATATATAGACCTTTTATATATGTAAATATATACTTTTCAAATATTTAAATATAGAGACCCGAACAATAAGAATATCCACAATTAAACACGTGTTTGGGCATTGGTATTTTTTCTTTAATTAATCTCAATCTGCAATTTGCTTCGTGTTCTCCCAACAACTCATAAAATTGCGACTCGAAAGTTATCAGTACTGACATTCTCGACTCGTTCAAGAGTTAACCCTTTGAAGCACAAGACTTTCAAAATTTGGATTCTAATAAAATATTAATGTCACATGTTTAGAATGACAAACCAAGAGGTCATTCTTTTTGAAATTAATTTTTTATATTTTCCTGTTTTTACAAGATAAACGCACAAACTGAAGCGAATTCTACGAGTAATACAAAAACCAAGTAGAGTGCATCATAGGCTGAGCGGTGATATTGTTGCGAGGTCACTCACATGATTTAGTTCTGATACATGATCTTACGGTGAAACCATTGTGCTTCCAAGGGTTAAAGAATGCACAGTCGAGTGAAACGACTTTAGGCAAACGATAAAGACTCACCTTCTGCTGTTGCGTTGGCGTGGGTTCAGTGGCGAGGAGCTGCTTCAAGGCCACGTGACCATTCGTCGTGGTGGTGGCACCAGGCGTGCTTGGTGTGCTAGGATTACTTCCGGGGGTGTTAGGCGTATGAGGCCCGGTCGTGGGACTGCTGGGGCTAACGCTCTCGTTGACTTTGCTGCCGGCATGATGATTTTCCGTGTGCCTCCTCAGGCTCCTTGCGTCACAATAAGACTTGCCACATCCTTCGGCCTTGCACTCATACGGCTTCTTGTTTCGATGCGTCAGCATGTGTCCGTTCCTGCGACAAAAATTGAAAATCGCTCGTTCAATTTCGTAAAAGCTGCGCGAAACGCTCGCGAGAATCAACGATTCAACGCGATATCCACTCGCAATAGTTAACTTCGCGCGGAAATTCGCTCATCAAATACGAGGGAGAGTCGGGCTCCGCGACGCTTCAAGCGGAATATAAATCGACGGTCGTAACGCGTTTCGCACGTCGGGAAATATCGCGCGACGGCGCGTTCCGGCATATCGTACGATATATTCGTACATTCGGATTCCTCTCGCATCCAGCATTAATCATAAGAACGTCTCGGGCGCGACGGCATTCTATATATGTAGAATTCACGGATACGTTCCAAGGGCACGGAAATCTGATCATACACCTGCTCTTTGGTGCTCGGCCAAAATTATGTCGGACCGATTACGCCGTTATCTATATCGGCGATCTACCCCGGCCCGGAAATCCCATATACCATCGAGCACGATTCCCGTCTTATCTAAGAGGAACATCTAAACTCATCCCCAGTGTGTTGCCCTTACGCCCGCTGGCTCGCCTAAAGACTTATCCACTCCATTTGCCCGATATTCCGGCTGACATCGACGAGGCAAAACGTGCGCTTAACGCGTTCGCGAAGGCGCTTCAGAGGATACCTCTTCTCTTCCTGCTCCTTCACCTCTTTTTCTCCTCTCTTCTCCGCGGCGGCACAAGACACCGAGAAAATGAGAACCGGCCATCTTCTGTAGGAACGTTAGAAAAAGGCGTGAAGAGATCCGCGGAGGTGTGCGTTCGGCGTGCAACAAGTTGCGCGATTTCGCGACGTCAGGGATTACGCGATCGCGTCCTCGATAAAATTTATGATTACCGCACGATTGCGTAGTCGACCGTTCATGACTACAATTGCAGGATTATCGATCGGTTCGACGGGCACAAAATAATGGCGTGCTCGTATCTTGATTGAAATAAACCAGATTATCCGGATGTAATTGCGAACAGGTCGCGCGGCCTCTTATTTGTATGAATCCCGCACGCGAGGTAGCACAGGGCGATAGGAAGAGAGCACGAGTTCCAATATATTTTATTTTCGGAACACACTATTATCTTCGGCCAAAATTTTCGAGCAAAATTATATTCTCGCAGCGATTCCGATCGTTTAAAATGTCGGTCAAGGTTCAGTCAACAACGACAATTAATTACTGATATTTCCGCTACAAAACATTATTTTAGACACGTGAAAATTTTCACGCTCAAAAGAGAAAACGTCTCTCTCTCTCTCTCTCTCTCTCTCTCTCTCTCTCTCTCTCTCTCTCTCTCTCT